GATGCTCCATCTGTATGGATGAATTTTTGCATATAAACTATGAAATGTGAAATCAGAATATGTGCAGTAAGGAGTATGAACATTGTGTGCATTAATGTAATGCATATAGTCTATGATGTGGCAGAGGTAAAGTGTCAGCGGGGGGGCCGGGCCTTGTTTAAGAGGCCGGTAGCGGAGGGGAAGAAACTGTTCAGGTGGAGAGAGGTGTTGGTCCTGATGGAGCGCAGCCTCCTGCCAGAGGGGAGGGGGGTGAACAGTTTGTGTCCAGGGTGAGAGGGGTCGGCCACTATCTTCCCTGCCCGCCTCAGGGTCCTGGAGGCGTGCAGGTCGTGGAGGGATGGCAGATTGCAGCCGATCACCTTCTCTGCAGAGCGGATGACACGCTGCAGCCTGCCCTTATCCTTGGCTGTGGCTGCAGCGTACCAGATGGTGATGGAGGAGGTGAGGATGGACTCGATGATGGAGGTGTAGAAGTTCACCATCATCGTCTTTGGCAGGTTGAATTTCTTCAGCTGCCTCAGGAAGAACATCCTCTGCTGTGCTTTTTTAGTGAGGGAGCAGATGTTCTGCTCCCATCAGTTGATTTTGGTGATTGACACCTCTTTTGAACCGTTAGAGCCAATAGAATCGAGAGGAAGTTACTAAATCCATCTAAACATTACCATTGATGAGTTAGAATGATGCGCACGCAGCTTGCCCAAAACCAGAAGCTCCGTTACACTCTATATGAAAAATACGTTTATTGCCATAAATGTTATGATGGATTATCAATAATCATTTCAAAGTGACACAGAGACATTGGATTAACCTTCAGCAGCGTTTATATGCGTTTTAATGCCATTGAACACAACTTTTGATCAGAAAACAGCAAAGGTAAAACGTATTTGCCGTTTTGGCCACGTAAAGTGAAGTTGTGTGTTGTCTTTCCTGGCTTTCGCTGCCATGAGTTTTGGTCGCACAGTGATGAAACGTATACCAATGGAATCTGTGGAATCTCAGCTTTCATATGATATCTATTTTGTGCAGATAGCATGAAGTATAAAATATCGCTACCGTGAGTTATGTTAGCATTTTTTCGCTTAGTGCTAATTTTGACGCTTGGTGTTAGACTTGTGTTTTGTTTAGCTGAAAATTGTTAATAGTGTCTGATAGCTGAGTTTCTTCTCGTTAAGTGGGTAATGACACATTAATAGGTTGCTAAATGTTAAGAAGCCCTGAGACAGTTTCGTGCAATATTGTTGTGTCTCGGGTTTAAGAGGTTAAGTACTTAATCTGAGTACTTCTCCCACCTTACATGTGATTGGGGCAACAGAACTCTGAGTTAAGGAAGTCGAAAACGGTGCATTTCGCCGTATGAATATGATGCCTTTTGGCCAGCTGATGGACAGATTGCTCATGTTTCCACGTTTACGTGAAAATACTTATGGCAAACGAGCAGTGGCGACTGGTCATTAGGGGCAGGTGGGGCACAGCCCCACCTAGTGTCAGCAGAAAGTATTACAAATAATGATTACAAAAATGCAAAAAAATAAATAAAAAAATATATAAAATATATTTTAAGATCATGTTTAATCATCTGATTCGTCTGTACATTGCTGTTTTAGTCTGTGTTCTTCTAATTAGTGTGTCTACAGCAGTGACGTGCGGTGAGGTTCATGGCTGGTGAGGCACTGACTCTTTCAGTCAGATTTACAAATATTATAGCCTATTTTGACCTTAATCGAAATATTCTGTTATTTTCAAAAGCTTTTTTAGTCTGATGCTATGATTAATTTTAAACAGACCGATCAACAAAAGGATACCCAAAATCTAAATATTGGATTGTTCTTTCTAAGTAAGATCCCATTTTAATTACAGTTGTGGTCTTACCTTGACTTGAAGATGAATATAAGTCCATGCTATCCTTCTGGACAACAATCTCTATTACTGTTTTGTAAAAGTCCTCCGTATCTTCCTGTAGTTTCAAAAGTTTTGTTTGTTGTTTGCGGTAGAATAACAGTAGCAACAAGAACCTGTGGGCTCACGTGCGCCCCCTTCAGTGCGGCAGAGGTTATGGCTGCCTCCCCATGTAATTGTTTCATTGCCGTTGTATGATAAGACCAGCGAGCCTAAATATGATATATACGTGAAATAAGTTATTTAGAGACTATGGATGGCGAGGATAAATGTAATAAAGGGATCTACAAACATCACATTGGTGACCTACAGTGAGATGGGAACAGGCATGCGCTTAGGGCCCGCTTTCCAGCCAGTTTCTGTGGGGTGACGCATTCTGAATTGAGGCAGAGCTCATCTGTGCCTCCCCTCAGAATGCGTCACCCCACAGTAAATGGCTTGAGCGCGCTCACAAAATAAGTGGCCGCGCTAAATTAGTGCCCGCGCTCCAGCAAGTTACTGTGGGCTTACGTGAGGCAGTGCTCGTGCTTGCCTCACTTCTTATCGCTCCGGTAGCGGAGCTCGGCAAATTTGCTGATTTTGACTATAAAATGCGATTGGAATCATACAGAAATCACATTTACACAAGATCAGTGGAGACATTTTATTATTATTATTATTTAGTTTTTCTTTAATTGTTTTTCCGTTACATTGGAGTATGACAGGTGAGGCTCTGCCTCCCCTGCCTCCACTGACTGCACGTCGCTGGTCTACAGTCACAGTGTGTGCCTATTGAGCTGTTTAGAGCCATGTGGGACAAAACCTGATTATGCCCCTTCCTCTCGCTGTGAAGTGAACGTTGACTGTAAAAACTACACTGCGCATGCTCAGAGTATTTTGTAATGTAATGTGTGTGGCAAAAAAATAATGACCAGAGGGGCACGGAGCTACCATACCCACATACGTCATCTCAAATCATTCAGAGCTGATTGGCTGTAAGTACGTGTGCCGCGAAAAGTGTGGTGTGTGAAGAGGAGACGAGAGAGCTGCAGTGGCGCGTCCTAAAACCAGGAAGTAAGCACAAAAAAGCAATGAGATTTCTCCAGAGGATTTTAGAAAATAGCTCGAAATAAGATCTGTGGGAAACGTACCTGTTAGATAAATGCACGTTTTGATTAGCCGGATAACATCCACATGTCTACCCTACTTTTATAATTTTTTTATCATAAATCTATGGATTAGATTTATGATAGACTTTTGAAACTACAAGAAGATAAGGAGGACTTTTACAAAAAAGTAATAGAAATGTTTGTCCAGAAGGATAGGCAAATGGACTTCATCTTCAAGTCAAGGTAAGACCGCCATTTTATTGAAAATGGGATCTTACTAAGAGAGAACAATTCAATATTTAAATGATAAAATTACATTTTTTGGGTATCCTTTTGTTGAACTGTCTGTTTAAAATTAATCGAAGCGTCAGACAAAAAAAGCTTTTGAAAATAATATTATATTTTGGTTTAGGTCAAAATATAATATTTGTAAACCTGAAGAGTCAGTGCCAGTGCTTCACCAACCATGAACCTCACTGCACGTCACTGCAGAAGCTTATATATAGACATCTAAGTTTTTTGTGCCCCACCACTTTTGTACATATAAAAACGCCACTGCAAACGAGCATTGACCACATCGAGCCTTGTAGATCATCACTTTCGAACGCTCTGTTCTCCACCGTCAGATGTTTGTGTGCACGGTGCTGCAGCGAGTCTGTGAGCAAGCTGCCCCCCGCACACAGAGAGCGAGAGAAAGAGAGATCTCCCCACCGACCACGTTAGATGTCAAGGGAGATGTATGCCTCATCATACTTTCTTGATTTGGGCTTTGTAGCTGCAAGGCTTGTCGTGGGCTCGTCCACTTCTCTTTTAACTGCCGGCTGTGTTAAAAATGTGTCAATTTTATTGATTTTACGAGCAAACAATGTTTGTTTACAACTTCTTCCTAAGCTTCACACGCCCCCCCTGCAATAGCGCTGCGCCAGACAGACAGTGACATATTCTGTACAGACTGTAAAGGAACTTTATAAATTGTGTTGATTTGAATCAACCTACTCTTATGGCTCTGTGCTCCCCCTGCTTCCAGTATATATGCTAAGCTCTGATCACCTCAAATCAATTGATCTATCTTTAAAACTCCAGCTTCATAGTTAACACAGACATCCAAGTGATGAGATACAAAAGTAAACAATAAAGGTTTACACATTTTTATTTATTTAACCTTTTTTAACAACACACTTATGATACAGAATGAATATTTGCACAGAATCAGACACAATTATTATAGAATGAACAGTTGGTTTGACATTAATCATCAGGACAACCATGTTTTTTCTCACTATGGCTTTTTTATGCCAGGTGTTTTGCAAACCAAGGAAAAGGCTCTATGGAAAAGGAACTGACATACTCATGTTAAAAAACAAGATTGAGGCCTAAATGCTTAGAGGGTCGTGGTTTGAGTCAAGCTTGAAAAGCAATTCTATTCTGATAAGCCTGTCTGATCTTCACCCCGTATGTTGAGAATAAAAGTCCATCTTGCCTTGATTAATCACAGCCTTCAATCAACATAAAATGTGGTGAAAACAATCAAATCAGACAACAGAAGACCACTTTTAAATAAGTATAACATGTTATAATGGCATTGTGATTACACATGCAGCTTTGGTTTTAAAAAAAACAAAGAAAACCTGATGAACAATGATGTTGTTCATCAAAAGTCAATTCGTCATCTTTAAGGTGTTTCATCATGAGGAACTCAACAGACTTAAAGCTTATGTTAACATGAATGCCCATGTTTGGATAGTCTTTTATAATCTCTTCATTCAGAGTTCTGTTTCCTCTTTATGGGGATCAATGACAGACAGGTGAATTTATTTGCATCATCATTGAGTCAAACCATCAGACTATTTTCTTTTACGGACGGAAAAACAAACTTACATCAAGTCCCTTTTGTATTTGGTCACACTGTCATTTTTGTATTGAACTCAATCATAGTGCTATTATTATTTTTGGAGATCTTGTAACTTGGTATTGAAAAAAATACCAAGGAATCTCATTGGACGAGTTCGGGGCTCGTCATGGCCACTTGAAGGTCCGCCCAGTTATCTGGTAAAACTTCTGATTGAAGGGGTGAAAGAAGTTCTGCAGTTTAGTCACCACTGAGGGGTCCACCTCTGGGTGGGTGCGGCCCTTGCTGCCTGCCAGGCACTTGTTGAAGACGATGTTAAATCGCAGACAGTAAAACCCCCTGGTGGCATTGAAGTACAAGTTATACTGGCTGATCCTTGAGGGCAGGTTGAGGAAGCGCTCAACGAGCTGCAGCTCCGGCAGCGGGTCCATGATGAGGCGGTCCCCGTCCACGATGTGGAACTGCTCCACAGGAAAGTATTTGAGCCAGCGCTCCAGGTGCTTGGTGTAGATGCTGGTCCGCACAGCTTTGTACTTGGTGTTCACCTCGCAGGTGTTGGAGTCCAGGGCCAGCTTCTCAAACTTGTGGTACGTCTTGTTTTTGCGCTCCTTGCCCTCCAGCACCTGCGTGTAGTCGGACACAGCTCTGGTGGTGGGCTCGCGGACGATGATCAGCAGCTTGATGGAGGAGTTCATCTTGAAGATGCGTTCAGGGACCTCCTCTGTGATGAAGTAGGCAGGGCTCTTCTCAATGGTAATCTGATGAGGGAAGGAAAAGGGCATTTTCTCTCGGTACCAGTCAATGCCCCGGGCGTAGTTCTGGTCGTTGTCAAAGAAGTGGATCTCCTGCGAGGCCTTGACCACTGCCGGGTGCAGGTTGAGCATCTCCAGCAGGGCGCGGGTGCCCCCCTTGCGCACCCCAATGATGATGGCCCTCGGCAGCTGCTGGACCAGGTGGTGCAGGCGGATCTGCTCTTTGGTGGCATTGCCCTTGCGTAGTTCATGGAGCAGGCCACGCTTAAACTGCAGGGTGCGGAGAGGGATTTGCTCTGGCTCAGCGGGAGGCAGTCTGCTTTCAATGGGGCAAATGGGCTGTAGCCTGAAGAAGACACAAGCAAAACAATTAGGGCTGTCAGTCTATTAAAATATTTAATCGCGATTAATCGCATGATTGTCCATAGTTAATCGCGATTAATCGCAAATTAATCGCACATTTTTTATCTGTTCTAAATGTACCTTTGAGGGATATTGTTCAAGTTTTCAATACTCATATCAACATATGAGTGGACAAATATGCTTTATATGTTTGTTTATTATCATTTGAACAATGACAAATATTCTCATGAATATTAAACACAACAACCTCTGAACATTACAAATATTCGCCTCAATTCAACCTGGAACCTCTCTCATACAATAATACAATAGAGTGTGTGTGTGTGTGTGTGTGTGTGTGTGTGTGTGTGTGTGTGTGTGCGTGTGCGTGTGCGTGTGTGTGTGTGTGTGTGTGTGTGTGTGTGTGTGTGGAGACACTGTGATGGATCGTTGGAGCTATGTGCAGCTCAAGGCATATATGCTCGAACGGGAGCTGCCTGCCCAATCATGTTGCGTGCACTATCCGTGCTGAGTGTGCTGACTTTTCGTACAATGTCCCACTGTCTGGCTACCTGCATAAAGTCAAGTGCTCGGCGCAGTTGTCGGCGAAATGTTGCTCCTCTGTTTTCATTGAAACAGCTCCTTATATCCGTTAGCGCAGCTAGCTAGCACCAGATGCTAACAACAACAACAACACGTAAGGTGTGCCTCGCTCGCGAGTCGCGCCACACATACACACACCCTCCCGGTCCTCCCGATGGCCAGTCCGGGCCTGCCGGTGAGCGTGGAAGTGTGGTCTGCCACAAGCGGGCGGCAGGAGCGGGGCTGTCAGCATCAGCTTGTAGATGGCATTTTAAACTCGATGCGCTCTGAAACTACGGGGCGGCCGAGGACAAAAAATACACATGCGTTAATCGCGTTAAAATAATTAGTGGCGTTAATTTTTTTTTGCGTTAACGCGTTATTAACGCTTGACAGCCCTAAAAAAAATATATCCTCAGTCAACATTGTCATACATTATTTATTACAAGTAGGCCTGTCAAGATAATTAATTTTGTTGGACGATACATTTTCCCGGAAATGTTTGCGATAAACGATAATATATAATAATAATTCAAGTACATCCTTTCAAACAGAACTTTTTATTGAACATTCCTCATTGGAAATGAAATGTGAAATAATATGTAAATATCTAAATTATATAATAAAAAAAACAATTAAATTAAATTATAAAAATGTTATTAAATAAATCACACACAACCAACACAATAAATTAAATAGACTCAGGCTGGAAAACAGAGCTCTTGTGGCCAAAACACGCAATTGCATTTGTGAAAATGTAGTAAAAAAATAATTTTAAAGTAACAGTTTATATATATATATAAATATGAGCACACATTGTCTCACAAGCAAAATACCCTCCTTAAAACAACAGTCAAGTGTACAGTCCACTGTCCATACAAAGACCCAGATGCCTCAACAGGCCATATCCAAATCTGTATTTCAAAGATTTCAAGCAAGGAACCACCTTGCCCCACAAACCTTGTGGCAGGATCTCTCTGGGATAGCAATGTTGCTAGCTGTGCTGAACATTCTCTCTGAGCTAGTGCTTGTTGCACAAATGCACATGTATTTTTTTGCAAACTTGGCCATTAAAAGGAAATTTCCTCTGATTATCACGCCACCACATCAAGGGATCGGATGATGCATCAACTGCTTCTTCCTGGAGGAACTTTGTCAGCTCTGAATCAACCAGTACTCTTTTTGTGACCGCAGCTGACTTGTTGTTAATTGGGCTTTTCTGTTCTGTAGAACAGCGGTCCCCAACCTTTTTTGCGCCAAAATATTTTTGCGGACCGGCCTTCAAGTTGTGGGGGGATAAATATGAGGAAATAAAATAATACGACCTGTGTTCCCGTTTAACTGGTTAGCTATATTCCATTGGGTTGAATGTTGCAATCAAACACACCACAAAGGCATATAATTGCAACAACAAAAAAACGTGTCTACGGCACCGCGGCACATACGATTAGATAACATGCAAAGCATGGGTTCAGACCTTAATTGCCTCGGCTATAGTTCAATCGATTTTATTTATTTATTGCAGGTGTCAGTACCATATGTGTTCGCCCTACCATATGTGTTCGGGGTCCGTCGCTTACCAATGACGTCACGCATTGTGATTGGCTGTACGGTAATCGCACGTTGATTGGTGTAACTAGGGGCGCTGACTAGGGTATACCGGGGTTCTGATCAAAGGATGAAGCTGTTAACGTGCTGCTACCATAAACTGGCTGTAGCTCACAAACTGAAGCAGAATGATCTAGGGCTGTCCCGAATACCATTTTTCGGGGTCCGGATATTCGGTAGTAATCCGCAGCGAATATTCGAATATTCGGCCCGCGCGGGGGGGGCGTAGTAATCCGCAGCGAACTGCTTCAACATGTGTATTTCGGTGTATTCACGGCATTCATTTTGTTATTCTACAGTATTGTTGTTTTATAGTTATTTGTTAATGTAACCCAATTTGTGTTCTTTGAAATTGAAAAGGATATCGCATTGTGTTTGTTACTTTCGTTGCAGTTGTATACGTCTTAAGTGTAATTTGGCTTGGTTTCCTATTTATGTACATGCTTTTATTTTGAAGGAGAGTTAGCGCAGTTGACAGGAAGTTGTTTTTGGAAACAACGTGACAGAGATTAACGGAGAAAAGTAATATCTACATATAAAGACGGAGAAAGTCAACGATAACGTTTATGGTTAAGTGTTAGCACCCCCCGAAGAGGCACAAGCTCTTACGTTGATATTGGAGATTTCAATAAATTCAATTTGAAAAAAAACGGGGAAAAAACAAACAAAACGAATATCCGAATAACGAAATTGAAACCCGAAATAGTACTCCAACGAACGAATATTTGGATATTCGGGTACAGTAGGGCTGTACCCGAATACTATAATAAAGTTATAGTAAATAATAACAAACTCCAGTGTTAGAATTCCATAATTCCATATTCATAAATAAAATGATATGCAAATAACTGCGTTGGTGTATTAGGGCGGGCCACACTATTTTTTTTTTGTAAATCGATCGAGAGGGGTTTTCAAATAACGTATTTTGGTGTGTAGAACACACATCTATTTAGATTTATTTATTTTGAAGTTGTTGCTATGGAAACAACATGACGGAGAAAAAAGTAATATCTTCTACATATAATAACGGACAAAGTAAAGAATGAAGTGTATGTTTAAATGTTAGCATCCCCCGAAGAGGCTCAAGCTCTTACGTTGAGTCTGGAGTTTCAATACATTCGGAATTTGACCGTGTAAAATGTCCTCTTGGGTCACCGTACAGCCAATGCGTGACGTCATTGGTAAGCGTAACGGACCCCGAACACATCTGGTAGGCCAAACACATATGGTACCTACACAGGCTTCATTTATATGCTGCAGTTTACAGACAATCTGCCCGTTCAAACACTGACTCAACACAGTTTGCTGTCTTAAAGTCTCTTGCACATCTGCAAAAGAAGGAGGTAATCAAAGTAAATGCGTAAGCAGATCTAACCAGTTATCACAATAACCAGTTGAACACCAGCATAAAAACAAATATAAAGTGCATAACAATACAACTCACCATTACGCTGAATTAGTGGGAGCCCTGAGCTTGTGTCTCTGCAACAAGCCCAATCTGGGGGTAATGGGAGACAATGACACCCGAAGTGTGTTCCTTATGTCCAGTCTACTCCGTAAGCTCTTTAACCTGTTAAGCCCTGAGCCTGTTTTTCAGGTCTCAGGCTCGAAAATGACATTCCCAGAACAAATGACCATATCTTCCCTTCTAAAAGGGTTAAATTAATCATCTTTTTTCTCAAAGTAATGATAAACCTGTGAGTTGGATGTAGAAAAGTCAGAATCAATATAGATGTTTTTTATTTTAAAGAAAATTCAGATTTTACATAGTAAAAAACTGTAAATTATAGTGTCCGTCCAAAAATGTTACTTATAGTGCAAACCACCCTTGGATGATGGGTTAGTAGACTAAAAGCTGTAGGAATCCAAAGTACAACATATAAGTACCCTGTATCAAGATTGATGCAAAACAAGTGACATTTGACCTTTTTAGAGAGATTTAGCAAAAAGAAACCACTTCTGGGGTCATTAAGGTGGATTTTCCATATCTCTGGCCCCCCTTGGTCGATTTTGATGGTTGACACCTCTTTCTGACCGTTAGAGCCAATAGAATCGAAGGGGGAGTCCCCCACACACACACGTTGTGAAGAGAAAAGGTGGGGGCTTCGCGCATGTAATTTTCAATCAGAGTGAACCTATCTCTAGCTCTGACATCTGGAAACGGAAAAGCAGTATTTGGTATTATGGATTATCAGAAATCATTTCAAAGGGACACAGACACATTAGATTAACCTATGGATTAACTTCAGCAGCGTTTTTATCGTTTTAATGCCATTGAAGACCACTTTGGAGAGACTACAGAGCCATGGTAAAAATGTTAGCATTTTTAGCTACCTAGCGTCACCTGTTTTGATGTCCGTTTTTGCTTATAACGTCGCAAATACGTATAATTCAGTGGTAATGTTGGTGTCAATAGATTCTGTGTCACCTCACGATGTGAAACGATGTGTTGGATGTGGTGAAAAGATAAATAATAAGGTTTTGTGAGTGATTTTCGGTGCAGTAAGGTGTTAGCATTTTTCGCTCGTTGCTAATTCAGAGGCTCAGCGTTAGCATTGTGGGTTTTCTTTTGTGCCAGCACGGCGCTCACTCTGTGCGCGTCCGTCGCTGTCTCCCAGACGAGGATCTCGACGTGGGTGACACAGATCCAGCGCCACCTCTGGCTGCAGCAGGCGTCCGTTACAGAGGCGGTCAGGAAAGTGCTGCTGGACGCTCCAATCAGCCCGGATTGGCTGTTCGGACCGCAGTTCCACGCCATGGTGGAGTCAATGAAGACGGCCGCAGAACAGGCGGACAACATTCGCCAGCACGTCA